AAATAGGGTTACGTACGACAAGTTGTATTTCGTTAATAACGATAACGGCCGTAGTAATGCATATAAACAGCAAAGGCGTGTGGCTTATGGTCTAACGGTAAACGCTTTGCCAGGGATAAACGGAATGCGCGAGTGGGACTCCCGCTGTAACCCCTTTGTGCCGAAAAGCCCCGTAAATACTCGCGCGATTATCTCCCGACGCGATTCATAATGCAGGAAAAACGATGCACGATTACGCAGTCAGCCAACGAATACCCAATCCGACTCTCTGTCTGTCTCTCTCTCTCTCTCTCTCTCTCTCTCACCCTCTGCCTCTCTCCCTCTCTCCCTTTCTCTCTCTACAAAATGATCTTTCTTTTCTCTCGTTCTCGTTTCCACTCACGTCGTTTCAATCTCTCTCTCTCTCTCTCTCTCTCTCTCTCTCTCTCTCTCTTTCTCCCTCCCTCCCTCTTCTCTCTCTCTCTTTCTCTTTCTATCGTACACAAATTTTCGACATCGTTTTATTTCTATCGATGATCGTATAAATGCATTCAATCGTGAAAGAGGTAATTCGTTGGGAGGTAAAGCCATCTATTTAAAACAACAACCAATGAAATATTTTCGTCTACAATTATACGTTGTTATTTGAAATGAAAAATTGTACAAAAGAATTTTTTTGATTCAATAGTATCGGTTTGTAATTATAAAAGAGTAATATGTACCATCTATAATAATTATGACGGTACGCAGCTTTTTTGTTTTTTCTTCTTTTTGTTCCTTCTTTACTGTCAAAAACCAAGTTTATACTCAATAGAAGTTTAAAAGAGAGTTGGAATTATCACAGGAAATACCGAATATCTCTTGCAATTGGTGAATATGTTTTCTATTGCGTTAAATGCATGGGCGTATAATTAATGGCTTAATTATTAATTATTAATTTTCATTTCGATAACCTTTAATCGATATACCGTAAAATTAGTTTGCGAATGTTGCATGTTTTCAACAGAGAACTAAGGGAGTATGGGATAACGAGTATGTTTTCTAAAACATACGTATCTTCCGTGCTCGTTAATACGAAGATTGAATGCGCAAACATTATTTCGGAAGTTTGGATATATTGTAAAGCTTTCTAACAATTGTTATTGTAAAGCAATAATCAGCGTAGTGTAAATTCTAGTTACACGAGATACCATGTATACTTGTAGAATATAGCAAGTAAATGTTATTGTCTTTGTCTTTGTCTATCTGTCTCTGTCTCTGTCTCTGTCTTTGTCTCTCTCTCTCTCTCTCTCTCTCTCTCTCTCTCTCTCTCTTTCTCTCTCTCTCTCTCTTCCTCAAATACCGCGAAACATCTGATACCTAGGGATACGAATTACAGCAAATTGTGTACTACTTCGATGCATGATACAGTAACATGACGTACACATCAATCGATAGCTTCTCGTATAATCGATTCGCCCTGAGAAAATTACACCCACGATGGAATAGTTACAAATCCTCTATAGTTCCATAACATTCAATTAAATGAGTAATTAGAGGCTTGTTATCAAACAAGTCTAATTAATTGAATGGAAGAATTTAAAAAATTAAAAAAGTATTTAGTAAATACGATCGAAACTATTAGATCTCGCTAAAGTAACATTTTCTTAAATGAAAATAACTAATTTAATTTTCTATCGGACGTCGTTAAAGATGAATATTCGGATATGAGAACTCGCAACATATGCGTCAGTTTAAAACGCAAATTTATAATCTCCACTTTCCTCGAGGCAGCCGTTAACAAACCACAATCCGTGGCATGCTCGTTGTCGACCCAGGTAGTAACTTTACTAAAAAGAAATAAAAGAAAAACAGGAAGGGAGAGAAGAAAAATAACGAGAGGGGCTAACAAAATGCGACGAAAGGGAGGAAAAAAGAGAAAGAGAAAGAGCGAGAGAGAGAGAGAGAGAGAGAGAGAGAGAGAGAGTAAAAGCTGGAAATGGAGACAATGGCAAGCGGCACACTGTCGCCCTTGGTCAACGTATCCTGGCGTTAAATTTCCTGGCCTATACATCGTGATGCTCTCTCTCCCTCTTTCTCTCTTTCTTTCTCTCTCTCTCTTTCTCTCTCTCTCTCTCTTTTCCTATTTCATAAAGTAACTTACAACTCCGCGACTAGCGAATCGCCCGGAACTAGGACAATTTCATACTATGTTGTCCTGCAAGGAGTTGTTACGGAGAAAGGGATTTCCTCCTTTACAATATCGCTAGAATTCTTCAGAGATTCTCTTTAGTCGATTAGCTACGAAACAGAGAACAAAGACAATTGCTCTAAAATGTATATACACACACATATAAATATTCCTTATTGCCTATTAACGTTAACGGAATGATATCGAAATTATTTTTAACACATTAAATACTCTGATTACTGGTTACTGATAACATTTCAAACTTTTATCCTATGCTATTCCATAGACACAAAATTATTCTCTTAAATACATGATCTATATTACGTATAATAATTACGTATAAAATATGTAACACGGTAGAATAAACTGTACACTTGTTCGAAAGCTGCTACTATAGTTTCACTTTCAGTCGAGTAAATTCCAAACGTATACATACTCGAACATACATACATGCATGCATTCGTACATAGATGTATGCACGCATTTTCCACGTAGACGATTGCGGGACGCAGCTTTGCAGTTGCGGGATGCGCGCAGGTGCACCAATGTCGGAGTTTACTAGCAGTCTCTCGCGGAAAAGTAAAACATACCCTCGTTCCAGTTGCGGCCACTGCACACCGATACACCTTTCTCTCTCTCTCTCTCTCTCTTTCTCTTTTTCTTTCTCTCTATCGCTATCTCTCGCTTTTTCTTTCTCTCCTGTTCATCGCAAGGATAGAAGGGTGGCTGGTCGAACGATGGAAAAAGAAGTACCCGCCTTCTCTAGAGGAAGAGTGGATGACGATGGTGCTGCTCGTGTGGAGCGTAGTTCCTGGCCATATTTACAGAGAGAATAGGGGGAGATACGGTTTTAGTTTTGCATTTGTCGGAAGAGGAGGAACACGGAGGTCGAAGCGGTCGAAGAAGCGGAACTGGAGAGTACGATGGAAAGGGTGAGGAGAGGGATAGAGATAGAGAGATAAAGATAGAAGCATGTTGGATGGAAAGCCAACTTGCTAGAAAAGAGTGTATATGTGTGCATAAGAGAGAGAGAGAGAGAGAGAGAGAGAGAGAGAGAGAGAGAGAAGGGATGGGCGTAAGAGAAACGTCGGGATCGGGTCCCATGTGCCTGTCACGGTTTTACAAGTCCATAAAAAGAGGAATTTCAGACTGAGTTAAATATTGCCACCGGCTCTCACTGAATTTCAAGTACGCACACGCGTTCGACCCCCAACATACATACATGTACATTCGTGTACGCTCGTACACTCGTTACATGTACCTCCAGATAGATATGTACGTACATTATGGGGATCTCGAGGACTACATGCGTTTTTTTTTACGCGTATCGAGAGGAAAAAGAAAAGAGGGAAAGGATCGGATCCGATACTTTACATTTATGCTATCCTTGCGTCTTTTCGACTCACGAAAAGAATACCTACTTACTGTCTCATACTCAGTATCTTTGTCTAGCGATTCGGAGTGGGATGTTACATTGAATTTACGGGAATGTGACGGCATAAACAGGATTCCTGGCTTGCACGTGCCATTTATGGTAGCGTAGCTGTTGACACTTGTTGGTACATAAGTAGTATATGTGTGTGAATACAAATCCTTTTTCAAATTTTTCCCATGGAAGAGTGAAAATCTATTATTTTAAGTAAAAATAATCTAGACTGAGATAAATCAAATCAAATGTTCTTTTTCCTTTTCTTTTCTTTTCTTTTCTTTTCTTTTTTTTTCTTTTTTTAAAAACTACAGTCTTCGAAATCTCTCTTAAAAAAAACAAGTATTATGTATCATGGTAGAACAAAAAAAAACTTACAAAGTAACGTACGCTTAATACTTAACCAGTGGCGCATCCGTTGCTACTTTTGTACGTAGACATTATTATAGAAACGCACGAGGCTATTATTCCAAGTTTTATGTCGTAGTTTGTAAAATACATAGAAGCGTATACTCTGGCAATATTTGAAACGATAAAGCGGTATCCCGGAGCGCTTGAACTTTACGAACTTGCGAATATTCATATTCTAAAGCAAAATTTTTCGGATAAACTTGCCGAAGATTTTTTTGCACTTTTAAGCTCTCCTCGTGAATCTCCTTCTAAATTTTGAAAGAAAAATAATCAATTGATTCGTTAAGTGTACTTGTCGATACACAATAATTTTTTTAACTTTTTTGAAGAAGGATCTTAATTATTTTTGATTAAGTTTTTTTCGTAATACTGACGTTAGTTTTCTCTTTAATTAACGTTAATGGATTATCCATTCATCAAAAGAACGACACGTTAAATAACCGTCAGTTAAAATGCAAATTGCATTCCAAGATTGACTGCAGTTTTATTGGCAAAGGTTGTAACATTTTTAGCTATGTACGAGTGCAGTAATCAATGTATATGTCAACGGTCGACCGTAATGAAAGTAAATTACGACGCATGACAAAAATTTGACCAGAAATGAAAAAAGTATACTGTTTTTAAACCATTGCGATTACCTGCACGCAGAGCTAATGCATTTAATATAATCGTGTTAAATGTGCGCTCGAAGCAAATACGACAAATAAATCTTTAATGAATACCAAAATGACGAAAGACTGAGATTACGCTAATAAGACGAATTAATACAGTGATCATCATGAACTTTTCTCGAAGATTTCAAAGAAACTTTCCTTCTTCTTCATAAAAGTTGATAAATATATATATTATATATATATATATATATATATATATATATATATATATATATAAAGGAACAAAATACTGTAACATAGTTCTTTTATACCATACATTTAAACGAAAGAGATTAAACGAGTACGGAATAAAGGAAGAAAAAGTATCGAAAAGGAGAATCTTAAAATTGAATGTACTCACTGCTGGTGTCCTGCTTCGGTTGGTTGCCCGGCGATGTCGCCCAGTTAACTTTCATTTCCTGTAACATTCGAAAGGAGAAAAAGTTCTTTAGTCGTACGTGCTTTCGGATTAAAAATAAAAGGAAGGTTTAATTCGCAAAACGGGAAACGAGAAGAGAGAACGAAATGAAATAAATGGAATTTCTTTTTGTAGATATATTTTCTTCGCAATTTTCGAGAAATATCGATTCTTTCGACTCACCGACTATAACATCAAGAGCATATTTATTCATATTTATTCAGACTTTTCTTGAACGTGAAAGTGTTTCTGTCCAGTGGTGATACTGCTACTGTCAAGGAGGTTCATACTTTTAAATTCGAGTGTGGATACGCGCCAATGCGGAAGTGCTTCTTTCTCCGCACTATCCCTGTAGAGGATAGCAGTCGGCGTCGGCCACCGGAAATGGGACGTGTCGGCTATCGTCGGTTCTTAACAGACGCCGTAAAACGGATTCTTTATGCGACGTTCTATATACACGATTTCTCCTTTTGCTGTCCAAGATATTTCGATAGATAGTAAAAGTCATTTTTGCTGAAATTGTAAGCACTCTTAAAGAGAGGGAAAAGAAGGGAGAAGAAAGGAAGAGAGAGAGAGAGAGAGAGAGAGAGAGAGAGAGAAGGAGAAATGGTAGTATTAAAATGCGAGGAGTTAAGGGAACGAAAGAACTTTTTGCTTTTATTGCCGTGAAAGAGCGTGAAAAATGAACGATTAATTCTATAGTTCAACTTTCTCTTATACGAATAACCTTCATTTTTCGAATTTACATTTGGTTACGGAATCGTTCGGATCGCTCGTCGAACATTTTGTGCCTTGTCTAAATTTTTCTCTTTGATTTTCGATTTGCTTTGCATTCGATATAATAAAACAAGGAAAATAATCGTACATAAATGATGGTAATTGGTCGAATGATAACGACGATATCGAGAGCATTGTATAATGTCACATAATGGATATGTAATTGCTACGAACGTAGAATATCTTCCGGGCTATTAGTGCTCATTTGAATAATACAGATAACACATGCATTAACAATAGTAAGAGTTTACGTGGAGAAACGATGGTTACAAACAAAAACGTGATATTGTTTTGGAATGACGAAATGCGAAATTAAAAATTGCTGACAGTTACACTAATTGCGCGTAGTAAGTAGAAAGGAAGAAAACGGTGGAAGAGGATTAAAGGGGCAAACAGAGAGGGAAAGATAGCAAAAAAAAAAAAAAAGAAAAGAGAAAAAGTAAATAATGAAAAAATGGCGCGAACAGCATAGACGACATTCTGTTCGTATCAGTATGAGCTTAATTCGGTACACGACACACCGTGGTGGTGCTGATATTGAATCGTTACTTTTCATTTCCCTTGGACGTTGCCATGGTCCTCGTCGACGTTGCTATTTCCTCTGCAACGTTTGGCCATATACTGAATACGATACCTATCCGTTTCGGTCTGTTTCTAAATTTTGGTTTCTAATTAACACCGTTTCGCAAGAACTCCGATGTCCATCGAGAGACCACGAGATACGCAAAATACTCTCCGATCCTCATCCGTTCGAATTCTAAAGTTAAAAGTAATAGAATGTGAACAGCGGTCGAGACTAAATTTGGAATTAAAATTAAAATCGATCCGTAGATGGTTTCTAAATTTAGCCAATTTCGTAAGGACTCCAATGTCCAACGAAGGTCCATGGAATACATGAAATTTCTGTCGATAGTAGTCAATTTCAAGAAGATAAATTCGACAATAACGAAGAAAACGTAACGTAGCTAAATAACAAAATTATTATTATTATTATACGTGCTATCCTCAAATACGCATAGACGGATGAAGATTAAACGGTATGTATCTAAACAATAATGTTGGCTTTAAGATGTATTGGTTCGTAAACAAGTTGTACATAATTAGAGGATATACCAGCGTAATTGCAGCGTCCTGCAAACGATGTGTTCGACGCGTTTGCTTGTTGAACGTCGCTCAGACACTCGAAGAGATTACCAAATGGAGATGGATAATGGGGTAACTTAGAGTGTGTCAATCTTGAATGAATCAAGAACACTGATCCGAGGATTTGCAATTAATCGATGTAATTCTCGTAAATTCGTTGTATGTAGCATTTCGTAACTTGTTTTATAATTCATAGTACGCATCTTTAATCAGTGATTTGGAACGTCGAGTGATAATCTCATCGAATAATTTAAATCTCACCGACGATCTCTCATTCGTTGCCAGTTATAATCGACATTTATAATCGGCTTCGAGTTTGGGCCGATCCGATTTCGAACGAGAGCTACTTAAATTACGTCTCGGGGCGTAAAGCCAAACGCACTTTTCACGAATTTCGCGAATGCAATCGCATAGTATTCGTGGGGGCACGAATGCTAACCACTCACGATGGTTGGCTCCCGTTTCCCACTACCACTCTCACTCCCTCCCAAAATCGATACGTTCGATGATAATTGAACCGAATTATGGCGAAACGCGCGAGAGTGGTGGCAAAATAGTCTGCCAACGAGAAGTGGAGCTCGATAAAGCGTTTATGCCGAGGCTTTGTTCGATTATTGATGCACCGCGGATCATAAAATGCTGTAGAATGGTCATTGAAATATATCGATGGAATGCCACAATTAAACGAATGCGTTAAAAATCGGAAAATTTTTTTTCTCGTATTACAGTTGATCGAACTCGCCTTGTCTCTATATACATGTAATGTCGCTCATGAATAACATCCACATGTTGTAATATTGGAGTTTAAAAAAAAAAAAACGAAAGAAAAAGAAAACAAAAAAAAAATGAAAAAGTAAAAAAAATAATCGATCGAACGAACAAAGGGAATATAATCCTAACAATGGAAAATGATTTTTCGGGGTCATTTAATTCTACCGAGAAGGATTACGTTCCCATACGATGCCGCCAACAAAACGGCTAGTACGAATTTTAACGGTAAACGATTTGTCTTGTACAAGGTGTTCCCACCAATGCGTTTCCATTTAATCTCCTTTGGGAAAGTCAAAAAGTAGAGCTAGACAAATTTAGTATATCGAGATGAAAAAAGATAGATTTTTTCTATCATATTTTTGTGAAAAATCATTTGACCAGAGGTGGATATATAGAATGAAGAAAAAGAAGGAAGTGGGTAGTTTCTTTCACAGGATAGTAACGTTAAGTAAAGTCTGGAGAAAAGGAAGGCGGAGAAAGGATAAGGAATACGAAGCGAGGAATAAGTAAGTAAGCGGGTGACTACGTAAGTAAGGGAAGCAAGTAAGTCCAGTAAGTAAGTAAGTTAGGATAGAAGGAGGTGGGTGGGTGAGGGGAAGTAGTGTAGTGGGCAAAAGGTGGTAACGCTCACGGAGAGCACGCGTGGGGCAAACGCGCGGAGCTAACGACGGGCCCGCAGTGTGTCTGCAGCAATTTGCAACTTTTAATAGTTAGCCCAGGTTTGCACGCCGAGGTCGTCCGCCGTTGCCCAGAGCCCGTTGTTTTATAGTTTATATGGCGGAGACGAGGGAAGCAAAGCAACTTTATATGTCGTAGTTTTCAACGGTTAATGCACACGCGCCTTATGCCCTCGAATCCAAGCCCTGCTATATTTATATATTAAAGAGTTAAGTTTCCGGAAGCGCCTTCTCGCGGTATTATTCTATGTGTATTTTCAAACTTTCATTTTAAATAACGCTTCTCTATCCGTACTATACGAACACGTTATAATGCGACCACACGATTTATTTACGACTATTCCAAACGATATTCCGAGTTCCGAGAGATATCTTCTGATCGCCGACGCGATTTTATCCCAACGCTCCGTCCTTAATGGCCGACTATGCTGTTGCTTCGCTCTATGGATATAGATACCTATCTCTCTCTATCCTCCTTCTTTCATTTCTACACAAGGAACCTCTATACCGAACCTTTACGCCGAACCTCTATATTCCTCCTTCTCTTCTTTCTCCTTCCATTTCTACACGATGAGCCTCTACACCGAACGTTAGCCGTCGTTTCGAACACTTTCGTTATGACGAACGAGAAGTCTCTTTTTGATAGCCACAACGAAATTATATTTTCCGCTTTATATACAAGCCTAGCTTTACGAGCGGAACATCGTTTCCCAAGGTATCTCGAGCTCGTTCAATATTTTCTATATACCTATTGAATCCCACAAGAAACTGCAACGTCCTCCTTCCTTCTTGTTAACTATCGAATATTATCGTGAATGAAAAAAATCGAACTTACTTTCTATATTATGTTGTCTCTATTTAAAAGCGGAATCTTACGAACGATATAATTGTAATGTCAATTATTTAGAAAAGCCTACAGTGCTTTCTTGTCTTCCAATGAAATGGTTTCTTACTCGTTCGATGCAGACGACACTATCGAGACTCCAATCCAAAACGATAGTTGGCCGATTACATATTGCAGTCGGCGAAGGGTGAGTTATCGCAAAGCTGGCGAACACGAATTGGGAGGAGAGAAATCGGCCAGAAATTGCAAGCTGCTGCACTTTTGACCTTAGTCGGGAAGTCGCCTTGCCTGAGAAGATATTTATTGTCCTATTATCTTGATTGATGTTCTCTCTCTCTCTCTCTCGCTCTCTTTCTCTCTCTATTTCTCCCTTTCTCTCTCTCTCTCTCTCTCACTCTCTCTCTTTAACCTTTCTTTCTCCTCACTTTGGCCGGCCACCGACCAGTATCTTATATAAGTACGTTTAATGGCGCAAGGCCGTTTCGGACCACCACCAAGAGGAGACCAAAGGGGTGGTGTCAGTTCTCCACCCTCGTCGTTGACTAACGTTACGATCGTGTAGAAGTCGTTGCCTGCTTCGGTCACTTCGTGTGTGCCATATCCTGCGTTCTCTTATATCTTCTTACTTTCTAACCACATGGCGCCATTAGTCCGTACCACTACTTCCCGCCTTTCTCACCCCGACACTATAATAACTCACGGAAATGCCATACTCGGTAATTTACGGGAACGTTTACTTTCTTTGCTCGCGTGAGCTCACCGGAGGCCTAGCCCATTTCGGGAAATTAC